GTTCCTCAGCAGGCTCTGCTGATGCTAATGGACTCACAGCAGTGCCTCCTACTTCAGTTATTACAGGTCTAATTCAGTCATTAACATTTCATTAATGGACCGGCCTCCTAGCTGCCAGCGAGGCTGTGCAGATATTGATGAGCTAGCTCCCTGCTAAACGAAACGCGTCTTTAAGGTGGATCGAATTAGATATAAAGTGTCTTCGTGAGGGTTTTGTAGAGAAAAACATGAATTGTTTTCTGAGGGCTTGGCTAGGGATTTAGGTTCAGACAGAATAGAGAATAAAAAAGTTTTGTCCCTAACCCTCAGGGATTCCACGGCATTTTATAAATTGAGCAAACATTTCATTCTAGGATGGGTGGTTAATTAACAATTCTCCCTCTTCTCCCAAAACAAAGTGCTATGCATAGGCCCCCTGTAAAAAATCTAAAGCCAACTTCTCATAGCAATTTAATCTTTGTTGTTTTCGTTTCTGGGAATACAAACTTGAAGAAGTGGCTTAATGAAGATGTCATTTAACCTCTCCTTTCCTTGCAGCTACTGCCACCATTGAAAAACATCCTAAGCTTAATGCCTCTAATCACCTCCTCTTCTGTGCCTCTGTCTCCTCCAATCAGGCTTTGGTCCTAACCACCCCATCAGAGCTCAATTTTCAGGGAAACTAGCGATTTCCCCGTTGCTAAACCTGATGGTCTCTTACGCTGTCATTTATTACTCTATCAGTAGCATTTAATGCAGACCTAGCCTTTTTGTGTTTTTGTTTGTTTGTTTGTTTGTTTTTTGATTCAATGATCCCACATTGTCTTGGTGTTCTTGTCATTCTACCAGCTACTCCTCTGCAGCCTTTTTCTTCTGACTAGCAACTACAGGTTGAGCTGTGCCTCCTATTTAATTTTTTGGTTACTGAATTCAACACATTGGCTTTAAGGATCCTTTTGGTGGATGAGGTTTCCAAATCTAAACTTTTGCCCCAACTTCCTTTCATGGCCCTGAGAAAATTAAGAAATGGTTTTCAGTCTAACTTTGTCACTAACTTTCTGTGTTGCATTATTTAAGTCAAATAACTTCCCTTAACTTCTACTTTCTTTTCTGTAAAATGAAGTTGTTAAACTATTAGATCTCTAAGGTCTCTTCAAGCTCTAAAATTCTATGGCTATGAGTCTAAGCTTTGTATAAAGCAGGACAATCAGATCTAAGAGTATGAGCTGTATCCCCAGTCCTCCTATTAAACAAATTGTTATCTTCCTGTGCAACTGAGAATTGAAATATATTGTATCATACAAATTTCTAATGCAGTACTTTGTGAAAATTACTAATTCGATACCATAATTATGCTTGTAATGTAAAATTATTAAGTACAGCCATATTGCTTGTAACTGTACATGGAACTTATATTGTTGCAATAAAGTGTGTTTAAATTCTATTACATAACTTTATTGTATTTTTAATAGCATTCAAAATTTAAATAGAAAAAAAGAAGGAAGGAAGTAGTCAAAAGAGAATGAATTGTGGGTACTGTAAGTTTTATTTTGATGCCTGAAAGTGATAACTGATGAGTTACTTATAAGCACCTTTACATTTTTTTATGGTCAACATTATACAATTTTATTTATAGTAAACATGGCAACTAACAGAAACAGGATTAGGGTTGAATCATTTCAGAAAACATTGAATAAAATGACCCATAAAATGTATTCTATGAGAGATGATTTCTGCTTCATAAATGGGACTTTAATTGTTTTTGTTTATTTGGGATGATATTTTAGACACTTCAAATTTCTGTCTTCTAGAACCATGCTCTTCAGTTTTAGAAACAAGTACGAATAGTTGTACTTATATTTATGTGATGGAGCTAAATAGGAGGATTATAAGACTTTTTTAAGTTACATAGATAGGTAATCCAGGATAAACAGGTATGTGTATGTTTCCTACAGAAAACTGTAAAAGTGGGTGAGCTAAGGATGTAGATGGCGGTCATTTAATATGGGAGAAAATGTATAAATTATAGGCCAAATAACCCAAGCTTTATTTAAACACATAGATCTAGAGTGCTTTTATTTATTTGAATATAACAAAGAAATAAGTCACAGCTTTAAAAAGATGAGTTGAGTAAAGACAGTAAATACTTTGCTGAATTATCACAAATTTTGTCTTAGTAAATGATCATCTCAATTCACTTTGATTTTATCACCATTTAAAAAATTTCATTCCTTTAAAACAACACAATTTGACAGTCTCAAAAGATAAAAATGTAATACAATGAAAGAACGGGAATATTTGAGTTTCATTTAATTTTTAGTTTTTATGCTTTATATGGAAAAATATGGAAAAGAAAATTTAACTAGAAATTATGCTAAATGTTTATAATAACTAAAATCAAAGTACTATAGCAAAAAGAGAAATTGCAGTCTATTTCATCAATAAAAATAATAATAAATATTCATGTGACTCAAGTCACATCTATAATACAAATCTCTACTATTTGATATTTTCTCTGGAAACTCATAATTTTAATTAATTTTTACCTAGTCACTTGAACTATATTATATCTTCACATATTTTCTTTGCTTCTAATAGTACCTTGTAATGAACCTTCAAAATAACCAAGAATGCTCTGCCATGCATATGTTTTGACAAGTGTCTAAATTTAATATTGGGCAAAGGGATTCTTTATTTACAGTGAAAATAGGGTATAAAAGTGAATCACAAGGAGTTTTCAGTTGTCCATATCAATTCAATTTGATTCAATATGCTCAACTTAACTCCTAATATGCTTTATTTTCAATTATCTTTATTTTCAGCAATTGTATGAAGACCCATTATCCATCTGCCCAGGAGTTGATAAGTATGTCTCCATCGCACATTTAGGTTTTTGTGTAGATGCTCTAAAATTGTGTAGCTGCTCCAAATTCACCTATTGTCAAGGCCATTCCAAAATTCTGGAGGAGTGAATATTACAAATCGGTTCCTATATAAGGCTTTTCTTAATACTTGCGGAAAATATGAGACCAATTGTTAGACAGATTTTCTCTTTTACTAACACTGTACTTTTCTAATGCTGATTCTCTACAAATGTGACTTCGTAATGTTCTGCAGAAAGCAATTGGTCTCACGTTTTATCTCAGCCTACCTTTTCAGGTGAATCTAATCAGTTCCTTATCACACATGATATGATTCAGCCCCATTGAATTACTAGCCATGTCTAGAATGTGAGTATTCTCTCCCCTTGCCCAGTTATGGAATTGCAATTAACTCTGTTTGAAAAACTCAAGTCTGTTTGACAAGCTCTTACTCATACTTCATGACTAGATGTTTGTTTTCTATACCATCCTCTTTATCTTCTGTGATCCCAAAGCCCTCGGATATACTCTATAAGTTATTTAAAGCATTAGGGCCATTTATTTGTATATGGTCTTCCCCAACTAAACTGAAAACTGTTTAAGATGAAAGATTTTTTTTCGCCTTTATTTATCCAATGCCCAAAATATATTGCCTGAAAAGTAGTAGGAATTGGAGATATTTTGGTTGCTATGAAAGTTTATTTATTGATTGAACTGGGCATTTAGTAAATATTAGTGCTGTGGGCTAAATTGTGCCCAAGAAAATTCATATGTGGAGACCCTAACCTCTAATGTGATGGTATTTGGATGGTAATTAGGTTTAGATGAAGTTAGCAGAATGGGGTCTTTATTCTGAGATGGGATTAGTTCCCTTATAAGAAGAGATATCAGGTAGCTTGCCCTCCTGTCTGTCTTTCTCTTTCTCTCCATTCTATGAGGACACAATAAGAAGGCAGCAGTTTGCCAGCGAGTAAGAGAGCCCTCACTGTGGCCCGAACATTCTGGCACCCTGATCTCAAATTTCCAGGCTGTAGAGTTGTGAAAAAATGAATTTTTGTTGTTTAAGTCTCCCAGTCTGTGTCGTTTTGTTATGGCAGTCCATTCATACCAATACATTTAGTATTCCCACATTTTCCTTAAAAAAAAATAAATAAATAAAAAATACTGTCCTCGTATGTCAAAGACCAAACTAAGCTGTCAGGAAATATACCAAATTGTGAGTAGCAGTAAACTATGCAACTCTACTTTTTTATTGTGTAATTGAAACTGTTCACATCTACCTTTAACTTCTCTAATTTATATTTCCCCTCTTTCATAGATTTTCCTGCTATAAAATTTACTTGGGTATAAAACATAATAGAAAAAAAATAGTTATCCCAAAATTTTGCCAATAAAGATTCAACCATTAATGTTTTTGGCATCAATGTTGTATTTTGCATTGGGGTCAGTTTTTCATGGCTGGAGGAAAGGTTATTCCAAGTTTCTCTCCTGTTACTCATAAGAAAATCAGTGAGTAGGATTTACTGGGTGGTCCAGTGTTACTCGCATTTGGAAACAAAATTCTTCTTATCTGCTATGGACTATTATGGATTTATGCCTGAAGGATGAGGATTGAATTTACCTTTACCATATTCACTTTATAGCACTGAAAATGTTATTAGTGGTCATAAAATTACTTAATTCTATCTGTAGATTACTTAATTAAATGTCCCCCTGTGCCAGAAATTTTGCAGTTTAACTATATGCTGTGTGAGAAAATATTTTTTATTTAGTCTATATTTATTGCCCTTTAAATCCATTGAGGGTCCCTTTGCTCTCATATTCCACACTGTGGTGAATAGGAAGGAATGAACAACTGTCATTTGACGCTGAAGGTCTTACTCAACTCTTCACATACAACTGGTCTTTTTTCTAAATACAGTCTTGTTCATTTTGTTTTAAAATACAGAATCTGTCTCCTCCCCTCCACAAGTTATTTTTAATATTTTCTTTATTCTACCAGATATTTTTGATATATTCTTCACTCTCCTCTAGTAGTATCACTGGTTTAAGTCAATATCTCCCCTAAAACACTGAGAAATAATCATCCAGGAAGAGAGAATCCCTGGAGCTATGAAATAGACTCCACACTAGAAGCAGACATGATACCCTGCTAATTACCTCAGCTGGGCCTGGAAGGAGTCAGGGTAAAAAGATGAAGTCAGGGGTAGGATTTCCTGTTTGATTCCCAAACGGGTGTTTCTCTAGATGCACTGCTGCATGGGCAGTGGGTCCTCTCAGTGGAGACTTCTTGCTTAGTGCATGATAGGTTACTTGCTTAAGTTTTATTCTGAAATATAAACAAAAAAAAATAGAAGTTAAGAGCAGAGGGGAAGACTATTGATTAGATTAAATATAGTCCTTAAAAATAGTCAAACATTATTTTTGTCACATTGATAAGCATTCATATTCATAGAATGCTAGAGCAAGAAAGAAGACTGTATTCATTCGATATGCTGGACAGTTTTTCAAAATGATATAATTCATTTGTTGGGCTATTTTGGATATAAGGAAATAATCAATGGACCTATGTCAATAGCTTATATAAAAACATTAGAAGCAATACAAAAATGAGCGTACTGAAGAAAATTCTAAAAGAAGCAAAGCTTTAGCCTATGTTTGAAAAAAAGGCAACACTCTACCAAAATAATGGGAGTCAGCTATTTATTTGTTTATTAAGATTTTCATTAAAATATAGCTAGCATACAATATTATATAAATTTTGGGTATACACCATAGTTGTGCAACATTTATATATTAATATTTTAAGAAGTGATGACCATGATAAGTATAGCAACCATCTGACATTGTACCATGCAATCACAATATCATTGACTATATTCCCTATGCTGTCTATTACATCCCCATGACTTATTTGTTTTATACCTGGAAATTTAGACCTTTTATTCACCTTCACCTTTCCTCTACTTTTAAAATTTTTCAACTACAGTTGTCATTCAATATTATTTTATATTAATTCTAAATATACAGCATGGTGGTTAGACATTTGTATAATTTAAGAAAGGATCCCTCTGACTAGTCTAGTACTCACCTGGCACTATACATAGTTATTACTATATTTTTTACTATATGCCCTATGTTTTACTTAACATGCCATGACTATTTTCTAAGTACTACTTTGTACTTCTTAATTCCTTCATCATTTTCACCCTGCCCCTCAACCCCCTCCCATCTGTCACCTCACCAAATCTAGGAACCATCTGACACTGTACATAGTTATTACAATATTATTGACTGTGTTCCTTATGTTCTACCCAACATCCCCGTGATTAGTGTGTAACAACCAAATTGTACTTGTTAATCTCTTCCCCTTTTGCACTCACCTCTAACCGCCCTCACATCTGGCAACCATCAATTTGTTCTCTGTATCTATGAGTTAGCTTCTGTTCTGCTTGTTTATTTTGTTCTTTAGATTATACATATAAGCACAATCACATTGCCTCTGTCTTTCAGTGTCATACACTCCACTCAGCACAGTATCATCTAGGTCCATCTATGCTGTAGCAGATGGCAAGATCCCATTCCCTTTCATGGCCGAGCAATATTCCATTTTATAGATGTACCACCTCCTCTGTATCCATTTTTCCATCAACAGACACCCAGGCTGCTTCCACATCTTGGCCATTGTAAACAGATCTGGGTTTCTTTAGACAAATACCCTGAAGTGGGATTATTGGATTCTTATTTATCTCTTGTTATAGCCTTTGTTTGAAAGTTTATTTTGTCTGGTATAAGTGTTGCTACCACAACTTTTTTTTTGGTATTATTCATTTACATTTTCATGAAATACCCTTTTCAATCCATTGACTTTCCATCTGTGTCTTTCAATCTGAAGTGAGTCTCTTATAGGCAGCATATGTAAGACTTTTGCTTTCTTATCCCTCAGCCCTCCTGTGTCTTTTGAGTGGAACATTTAATCCATTTACATTGAAAGTAAGTGTTGATAGATATATAACTATTGCCATTTTATTATTCATAATTTTGATTTTTTTTTCCATCTTAAAGAAGTCCTTCTATCATTCCTTGTAATACTGGTTTGGTGATGATGAACTCCTTTAGCTTTTTCAAGCCTGGAAAACTCTTTATCTGTCCTTCAATTTTAAATGATAGCCTTGCTGAGTAGAGTACCCTTGTTTGTAGGTCCTTGTTTTTCTCCACACTGAATATTTTATGCCAATCCCTTCTGTCTTGCAATGTTCCTGTTGAGAAATCATCTGACAATCTTATGGGAGCTCCCTTATAAGTTACTAATTCCCTTTCTCTTGCTGCTTTTAAGATTCTCTTTTGTCTTTAACATTTTCCATTCTAATTATAATGTGTTTTGGTGTGGGCCTGTTTGGGTTCATTTATTCTGGGAATCCCTGCACTTCCTGGAGTTATATGTCTTTTTTCCTTCACCAGGTTAGGGAAGTTTTCAGTCATTATTTCTTCAAATAGGTCCTCAATCCCTTGCTTTCTCTCTTCTCCTTCTGGTATCCCTATGATGCAAATGTTGTTATGCTTGATGTTGTCCCAGAGGTCTCCTAAACTATCCTCATTTTTTTGTATTCCTTTTTCTTTTTGCAGTTCTGATTGGATGTTTTCTGCTACCTTGTCTTCCAAACCTCTGATTTGATCTTCAGCTTCATCTAGTCTGCTGCTGATTTCTTCTAGTGCATTCTTCATTCCAGTCATTTTATTCTTCACTACTGACTGTTTGTTTTGTTTTGTTTAATGGTTTTCATGTCCTTTCTTATGCTTGCTATCTGTTTGTTGAGGTTCTCACTAAGTTCCTTGAGTATCCTTAAAACCATTGTTTTGAACTCTCTTTGATAGGTTGCTTGCCTCCATTTTATTTAGTTCTTTTTATGGAGTTTTTTCCTGTTCTTTCATTTGGGATGTATTTCTTTTTTTCCTCACTTTGACTGCCTCTCTCTTTGTTTCCAAGTATTAGGTAGATCTGCTATGTCTCCCAGTCTTGGCTCGGTGGCCCTATGTAGTAGTTGCTCTGTGAGGCCATGGCACACTCTCCTTATTCATCTGCTCCAGTAATGTCCCTTGTGTAGGTTGTTTGTGCCCTCCTCATATAGTTGAAGCTTGATTGCTGTTGGTACATCAGTGGATGGGATTGACCCTCAGGCTGTGGGGTTTGACCACATTCACAGCTTATACAATGTTGTGTGGGAGGGCTTGCCTCACTGAATGGGATTCGCCCCAGTGGACTCTTGTGCCTATTGAGATTGTCTTTTGGGTGTACCACTTGTGGAGCTAATTGGATGGTGTTTTGCTGTGGTCTGAAGACAGCCTCCAAGTATGTTGGCTCTGGGGCCTCTTGGGAGGGACACAAGTGCAGGTCCAGGTCATCCACTGCTGTGACCAACCAGGGACTACCAACTACCTGATAGGAGCTCCAATGTGATCCATGGTTGTTTGCTGCCTGTGCTAACCCTGGAGGCATGTGGGAGAGGACACACTGCAATCTGATGATTACTGCCACCAGTACCTGGCCTGGGGTAGCTCTACAAAAACCTAGGACACCTGCTTGCTCTCTTAAGGTTTAGCCTCTGATAAAGCCTCATGTAGTGCACATGTTGGGTGAGGCAAGGTCTCAGGGAATCACTATAGTGGGAAGAATTGTGGTCAACAGGTTAATGTAGACTCTGGTTTGGTGACAGTGCTAAGCCTGGAGTTACTCAGAAAAAGTCTCAGAGCACACAGAGGCCAGCTGTTCCCCACCTGGTTACTGCGGACTCTGATAATTTTTCAAAAAAGAGTGCAGTGGGGGCAGGGCTGTCTGCTTTGAAGAACGTGCCTCTGGTGTTGGGTGAATTGGGTGGAGAGGGCTCTCAGGGAGTCTGCAGGGTGGAGCAGTGGTGCTCACCAGGCCAGTCAGACTCAGATTTGGCCTGTGGGGGTGGGTTCAACACAAGAAAGATGGCGCCTGCCTGCTGGCTGCTTGGAAGAAGGACCCCACAAAAGGAAAATGGCGGCTGCCCTTCTGCCCTCTTCCTGCAGCCACACACCTCAGCCTGCACCCCCATATGCTTCCAACTCTACTTGAGTTACTGTTTCTCCACTGGAGCCCAAGATGAGTAACTGCAAGTGAGTGGGTCTGTGTGTAGGTCGTTTAAGAGGATGCCTAGGTTTCCCACAGTCTTCTGTCCCACCTGGATGGTTGGAATTCCCACTGTTTTTCACAGCCAGATGTTGTGCGGCTCCTCTTCCCTGCACCAGTACTCAAGGCTGTGAAGCCTGGTGTGGGTTTGGGGTCCCTTGCTCCTCAGGTGAAATTTCCATGGTTGTGATAACTCTCCCAGTTCTCAACTTTCACAAGGAGTTTTGGGGCCAACCTACTTTGTGTCTCCACCCCTCCTGCCAGTCTTGACATAGATTTTTTTATATCCTTAGTTATGAAACTTCTGTTCAGCTAGACTTTAGATGGTTCTCCAGGCTGATTGTACTATAATTTAGCAGTAATTTCAATGTATATACAGAAGGAGGCAGGCACAGTGTTTATGCACTCCCTCATCCTGGATCTCTCTTGCAGAGTTCAAGGGAGTCTACGTAGGTAAAATCTCATGCTCTGGGGCCAAGCTACCTGGGATGAAAGCCAGGCCCTACCTAAAGTGTTATATTGAGAAAATCATTTAACCTTTCTGTTTCTCAGTTTTTAAATTTTGAAATGATTATTTTCATATTATTCACATTACAAGATGTGGGGATAAAAACACATGTTAATATTAATTATGTCCTTAAAGTGCTATCTGGCACAGGACAAAACTGAGTGTTCATTTAAGTACCAAAAGATGTTCCTTTTAAAGTCTCAGTGAAATACTGAAATACTGTACAAGTTAGCTATCACTGCTTAATGAACATCCCAAAATTGTAGTAGCTTAATACAACCATTAGTTGTTTCTTACATATTTTTAGGTAGACTGAGGCTTTTGATCATCACTGCTGGGATCTGCTGGACTCTTATAGGTCCTCACATACACCTGTGGTCAACTGTTTAGTCATCTAGGAGCTGCTTGATCTAAGAGGTCATTGACATGGATAACTAAACTCTGCCCCATCTGGTCTCTCATTCTCTACATCTGATATTCCAGGCTTCCAGGGGAGCAAGTAGACATGTACTAGCAGTTTTTTAAGCCATTGCTTATTTTAAGCCTGCTAATATCCTTTTGGCTAAATCAAATCATGTAT